GCTATATACATCGGCCAAACAGGACAGTCCCTACGTAAAAGAATCAATGGACACAAATCTGATATTAGGAATGGCAACATACAAAAACCTGTAGGGGAACACTTCAATCTTCCTGGACACACAATTGCAGATCTAAAAGTAGCTATCCTGCAGCAAAAAAACTTCAGGACCAGACTTCAAAGAGAAACTGCTGAGCTACAGTTCATCTTTAAGTTTGACACAATCAACTCTGGATTAAACAAAGACTGTGAATGGCTTGCTAACTACAAAAGCAGCTTCTATTCTCTTGGAATTCACACCTCCAGATCAGCTGCTAGAAGTGGGCCTCATCCTCCTTGATTGGATCCACCTGGTCATCTCCAGCCTGATCCTGGCCTGCATATTTATTCCTGCCTCTGGAAATTTCCACTACATGCATCTGACGAAGTGGGTCTTTGCCCACGAAAGCTTATGCTCCTACACTTCAGTTAGTCTATAAGGTGCCACAGGACTCCTCGCCGCTTTTGCAGAAAACTTAGCCACACCCATGAAAAGCGGACATCCAGCTAACTAAAATCATGCGTGACCACAGATGTCGCTGGACCAAGAATGCCGGACTAGAGAGGTTCAACCTGTACAGGGCTGGTTTTCTGATAAGAAGCCTCTTACCACTGCTAAGACCAATGGAACTATGCCTACATTAACAACATTAGGATCTCTAATGGCGATATCATCCACCACTTACTAATGTTTTTCTGTTGTGTCCTCTAAACTCATGCAAGCGAGTGAGAGATACGGGGATAATTCCACTGGCAGTGGGAACTGAATCCACACCAGTGCTCTCACAGCTTTCACCTGTAAGGGGCACTGCACCAATGTAAATTTTTTTTCCAACCCCCCCAGAGGAGACAAAGTCTTACCCACCAAGTTCTGAGTTTAAGATTTGTTATTACTGAGAGCATGCTCACCACTTTACAGCAGAGTAGGGAATAACTCGTTTTCTAGTTTTGCTCCTTCTGACAACAGGTCAGCAGCGTATACCATCCCTACAGAGCAAATTAGATCAGGGAGTGAGGAATGCTGTACCTACCTGTCCCTATATGGGAACAGTTATCCAAGCTGAAACTCCACCCGGAAACCAAGCTCAGCACACTCATCTCTTGCAAAAAACATTCTAAGAATCTTCAAGGGCCCAAAATAAACAGGGTCTTAAAAGCAAGAGCCCCTCTGAAAGACCGTCCTGTCCATCTTGCATTGTGTTCTCAGTTTCTCAAGTGTTTTTGAAGAGAGGGAAAAGGAATCAATGCAGTTGACATGTTAGGTGTTAAAACTACCTGGTAAAGTTCCTCTTGGTATGAGGGCAGTAATCAATTCTAGAGCAGCAGAATGCTGGCTCCACTGTTATGGAAGCATTTTAATGAAATTAGTAGAATATTGGCTCTTGTGCTGTTCTGTGCCTGGATTATGTTAGAATGCTCATTTCTTAGATGTCAATTATGTGAGAACCGAGCTGATCTTTCCAGTAAATGCGACAATGACATGATTCTTCATCTGAACAGAGAATTTCTTTCTGCGGTATTATTTTATTTTCCCAAAGTGCAGATTTCTTTGTGTACAGATTCTCTCTTTCAGCTGATCAGTGTCATGTTTCATGCAATTCCCTGTAAGTAAGTATAAGGGTGTTGGAATGCTCCTGACCCCCAAAACAAGGGATAAGAAAACCTCTTCATCCTATTCTTTAATAGGGTGATTGCTATACCCTAACACACTGACCTGTTCCCCTAAATACACAGGGATACAAATCCCCAGTTTCTTCAGTATAAATACACAATCCAAATAAAAGCTTATTCAAGTGGAAAAGCCCCTCCAGATTCTACAAGTCTTATCTCCCAGGGCCTTCTCAGCCCAGCTGACAGCACTCTTCCTGGGAGCAGTTCTTCCAAGCTGTGACGGGCTCGGGTCTCGTCCCCTTGGCAAGGGGAGTACGGGGTGGACCCTCCTAGGCTGTCCCACCCGTCACTTTCGTTCACGATCCCTTTAGTTCCTTAAGTTAGGGGCTCCTGCCCTGTTAATGGTGTATAACTCCCCCTCGCGGTCCCCTAATCCGGGGTTCCGGGGTCTCGGGGGACACAGGGGAGGAATGGGGGTCTGGGCCCGCCCTCACTCACGGGCCCCAGTCCAGGGCCCTAAGGACTTAGACTGTCTTGCAGTCTCAGTCCGGCTGACGGGGTTGCGACCCTAAACTCGTCAGCCCACGGGCTAATTCACCGCCCTGCCCTGGGCTGCTTCCTTCCTCCCCTTTCTGTTCACCTCTGCTCCTTCTCGGAAGGCCGTCCTGGGCGGTCACCCCCTTCTTGACGGGTCCGCCCCTCTCTTGCTGCCTTCCCCTCTCCTCTGCCGACGGGAGTATTTTATTACCCCTGCGGTGTCGGGACGCCGCCGTGCGTCCCGCCCCCTGCGCCGCTCGGCCGGCACCTGGGCTCCCCCCTGCATCTGGCGGGGCTTTTCCCCTGGCGAATTGCGGAGGCTCCCAGCTGAGCCGCGGCGCCCCCAGCTGAGCCGCTGCCCGGGAGCAGCCGGTGCACGGCCGGTACAGACTACAGCCAGGGCGCATACCCCTGGGGTCTCAGTGCGGGGCCTTGGTGCCCCGTCACACAAGCACTAACTGAGAAGGAGAAGAGCCTGAAATATAAAGACTCCTCCCCTTTCCCAGCATTCCTAGCAAGAAGCGAGCAGCGGCTAGGCCCCCGCTTCTATAGGAATAATTCAGACAGCCACACATGGCTTTTTCCTCTCTTTTAGTGAAGAGAGCTTGTTTTGAACCATGCTTTGAGATCAGAGAGAGAGCCTGGAGCTTTCTCTGAACTTGCTTCCTGGTCTTTTCCAATTCTGGAGCCTAGTCAGCTAACACTGGGGAAAAGGGGAACTTTTACATTCTCTCCTCTCAGAGCTTGTCTCAGAAACATGGCTACCTTATTAGCTGGCACTGAATTTCTTCTCCAAATCCCCTTCTTTATTCTTCAGCAATTTCTGAGTATCACACTCCCTTTTAAGTCAGACGAAAATCATCGCACTATGGGAGAAGTGCCTCATAATGCTCTCCATCCCCCACCAAAAATGCAATACTTCTGAGGTCCCTCCCTCAAAAAAAGTTGATCATTTTTAACTGATGTCATCTTTCTAGGCACCTCTAATTTCTAAGCTTAATGTGTCATGTGCATTTAATGCTCATGAGAGGTACCGGATTGACAGCCCTAGAAACCAAAGTCCCTTTTATCTATCAAAGAAGTAGATTATGGGTAGACAGGTGTGCGTGTGCACGCATGCGCACGCGCGCACACACACACAGACTTCCGCATGCGCACGCGCGCACACACACACAGACTTCAACAACATTCCACAACTACAACCCTGAAGGGCCACTAACATTGCCAGGAGGGGAGTTCAGTCTCTGTTTGACTCTTGTCTGTCTTCCAAGACAAGAAAGAGTTTGGAAAAGCATAAAGTCCTTGTTTAAATTGTGCTTCTACTCTGACAAGTGTTCCAATGTGGGCCCTGTCTCTAACCTCCAGGTCAGATTTGTTTTGCTTCCAAGAATTCCTCTAACTACCAGTAACCCAAACTCCCTCTGGAGTCTGGGAGTCAGAGCACCGTCTGATTTTAACTTCACCATTGGCAGAGACTCCACAACTAGAATATGTACATCACCAGCTGAACTATTAATTACATTTAACCCAAAACTGCTCCCTGCTCACAGAAATGTATATACTTTATAGTGCAAACAGCAGCAAGATACAGAGAAAACGTAATGTCAATCACTAGAGCAGAAGAATCTATCAACATACAGTGAATGAGATCTGATAAGTGAGAATGTGCTGTTTTTAGAATCTGACCATAAATGCATCAACATACAATAATTGAGCAGGTATAAGATAAAATCTAAGGCTTTTACTCCAGGTTCTCAGCAAGTTTCACTTCCATTATGAACAGCCTTCTTAAGCGCTGTTGTCCAACTGGTACAAATCAAACTGAAGACTTACCACTGTCTGAACTTTTCAAAACTATGCCCCTTCAGTCTATTTCAAGTAATTCAAAGGGTTCTGTTCTTCTGTTGTTCATGAGCACTTTGGTATTTATTTCCAGAGGTGCTCAGCACCTACAATCTCACTGAAGTCAATGGGAGTTGTAGGTGCACAACACCTTTACAAGACACGTCACTACTGTTTGCTATAGAAATGTTCTAGCCATCTGGCTGAACATGGGGCCTAAAGGGGAGATCGAGTGAGATGCAGCTGGGATACTTCCATAAGCTTTAGGTTTTGTCCGTGAAATTACTTGTGCCTCAGGGAGAGCCCGCAAGTACAGTGATGTGTCAAAATCATCTGCAGCGTAAGTCAATAGCATTATCCCAGGGATGAATTTGGCCCAGACAGTGCAATAGTAATAAGGCAAGACATTCCAGGGATGGAGAGAAGAAAACCCATCTGAGGAGTAAAATTAAAAAACCACTCTCAATTCTTCACTTTTGAAATTACTTGTGCCTCAGGGAGAGCCCGCAAGTACAGTGATGTGTCAAAATCATCTGCAGCGTAAGTCAATAGCATTATCCCAGGGATGAATTTGGCCCAGACAGTGCAATAGTAATAAGGCAAGACATTCCAGGGATGGAGAGAAGAAAACCCATCTGAGGAGTAAAATTAAAAAACCACTCTCAATTCTTCACTTTTGTTGTATCAGGGATTATATGACTGGCCCGGGGGGGGGGGGGGGGGGAGAGGAGGG